AGGTCCCTTCCAAACCTGTAATGATATGAAATTGTGATCCTTGGGGTTGTCTTGCAGACTTTTAGTTACGGGGCATTTTGAGGTCACACATTCCTGCCTTTATAGAACAACAAACAGATAGTGTATTCGCTTAATATTCTCTGTTCTTTATCACTTTTATCAGATAAGCAAGCGTCTGCCTTTTAGCCTATTCACAGTGCTGGGTTTTTTTCTTTTTCTTCTTATGTGACATTACACAGCAGTTTGGGGCCAAGCTGATTGTAGGTGGATACAATACCAGTGCCTTTAATTTCGTATCCAGTTGTTACTCAACCCGTGTTGAAGTCAGAATTTGTCCTAAGGATATTCATAAAGGGCAAGCAGTGCTAGTCTTGACTGTTTCAAGTCAGAATTGAGTCTCTTGGTCTTCTACTTCCACGCTCCCTCAAAAACACCCTAGCGACAGAGTGAGAGAGTGAAGGACATTGTGGCGCTCTGTTTCTAAAGAATACTATTTTGCTTTGGGTAATATTTCAGGGTTCTGCTGTTGTTTTAAAGCTCCAGATAGAGAAAAAAAAAAAAAAAAAGAAAAAAAAAGGTGCATTTGTTTCTGCAGTATGTTTATGGGGTGGCAAGAAATGCTTCAGAGTTGGCTTAAAATAAAAGGCGTGTTCTCAGGAAGCTGTTGTGGATCTTCAGGTGAAAGTGGTCTTAACTGACAGGTTTTCTGTCTCACTTTCTAGTGTAGTATTTTGCCATATAATAGCTTTTGAATAAAGTGAATGCCATTGCTTAATTTTTAGTGGTGCTTAGCAGGTACTCTTATTTTGTTTTTACAGTGTTTGGGGGGGGACACCCAGTTTTCACAGCTGTTGCATCTTTGAGTTCTTGTTGATTTGCTCAGAGCTTTCAATTTCCTGGTGTTTCTGAAAACAGTGGATTTTATTTCAGTCATATACATCTCATGATGTTCTTTTTAGCCTGAGATAATTAAGATGAAGAAGTTTTATGACCTGAAACACACCTTACTTGGAAAGCACTGGGCTACATTTGTAGTCTTAGGGAATATTTTATTTATATCCTTCCATTGACATTGATAAGCTCAGACTATAAACTTTTAAAATGTCTTCATTTGTCTGGAGTTCACTTTCAGTAGTGTTGTCTGTTTTACTGCTTTGATTTTTGTTAATGGTTTGCATGGGATATATCTGGAAAAGTTTATTTTGTATTCCGTCATTCTATTGCTACTTCAATTCCTTTGTAATGTTAAGTCTTTATTGTGATTCCTATATGAATCCTTTTTGTGTTTAATTCTTTCGCTGTTCTTTGCTGCAGTTATAGCTCCTTTTCTGTTCAGGTGCTTTTAGTGTTGTTCTTCTAGTTAGTGTTTCCTCGAGTTAAATAGCTGTTGCTTAGACCTCTTCTGTAGCCAGAGCGGTACAGAGGTTGTAGGAGAAGTATAAGCCTTATTGCTAGAGCTTCCTTCTCTCCCTGAGCTTCCCAAATATTTTTTATTTTTTCTTTTTTTTTTTTTTTAAGTTTTTCAGCTACAAGACTGTCTGTTAATAGAATTAGGCATTGTTCTGTTGTATAGGAATGTAGCCGTTATGTTTAGTAGTATGCCATTTCCTAGTTCCTGGCGGCAGTTTTGGGGAATTTTGCCCAGTGGTAATGGGTTTCTATGAGATACATAATTCCTACTAAGCAATTTTAAAATTTTAATTTCTGGCCAGTTGGATTTTACAGCTAAGCAAATCAGCTCTAGAGATACCTTTGTTTATCCAGTAGTTAGGTGCTTTTGCCCTGTGAATTTCTATTTTGGTTTAGTTTCTGAAGCTTCCAGTGGTTCCTCTGAAGAGGCTGGGCATGCTGAAAGACCCATATATGTTCAGTTTGCATTGGTGTTGCTGTGAAGAGCAGATCACCTGCGCAAATTGAACGAGCACTTTGGATGTGTGGGGTATTGGCCTCGGGTGTGGGTTTGTCTGTGCATGTTTACTGGGCATGTCCAAATGTCTAACGTTTGGCTGGCACAGTAGCAGTGAGTGGTCTCAGTTATTTTGTCTGAAGTCTAGACATTCAGGTACTATGCTTAAATTTTTCACATTCTGCTTGGAAAACATTGCTGGGTTTCTCAGATGGGGAGCAAGAAGATGCTTTGGGGAAACTTGAGATGATAGATTCAGTGAATCCTTTCGTACTTTGCAAGTGACCTAATTGATGTGTACCAGCTTTTAGATATCTAGAAGTCAGAGGCTTCATAAATGTTTATTTTAGTATAAACTGCATCAATGTCTGGAGTTTCCACCAGAGAGGAAAGGTAGATGTTTCTGCTGTAGAGGGAGCATAGGTTCTTAGCTTGTATCTAAACCTAGGTGAAATAAATTTCCCGTTCTACTGGTTGCTGGCCGATGTGTTCGTAATCTACGGGTGTGCTTGAGAAGCTACTCGATTGCCCATGTTTGTAGGATGTTTAACTGTAATTGATTCCTTTGGATAACCTGATTTTCCAGAGCTTGGTTTTCGCTGGGAGCCTTCTGTGGCATGAGCGCCGAGTGCTGTTCCCTCTCAAGGCATGGTTTTTCAATAGTTTGGTTGTACTGCGTGTTCTGGTGCTTTTTATCATTGCTACAAGGTGGTAGGTTTATACTCAACCTTCCCATTTTATCCGGGCTTGAAACTAGACATCCTGCCCAAATACAGGTGGAGAAATTATGTTGGTGAAAAAACGGGCCTGTGCCCACACATGTGCAGCTGGACAAGTTACTCTGTCAAATTAACTGCCTGTCCTCTTCATTGACTCATTGCAGATTCTCAGTTTTCAGGATCATATGTGACTGTATGAATTACCCTCTGGTTTTACTGCAGAATCTCTATTATAACAAATGAAAGTCAGTTTGCCTTTGTTTTGGTTTTATTAAAAAAAAAATTATGTGTGTTAGTATATTAAAATTCAGGCTCATGTGGGAATCTTATTTGTTATCAAGGATTTTTACCCAAGATCTAGAATGTGTCTTTTAATTTATTTTAAATCTGGTCTTTGTGTTCAGAAGTGACACTCATGTAGGCAGAAAGTGACCTTCAGGTGTGCAATTCCCACAAATATAAAATGTGGGATTATCAGTTTAGAAATAATACCTAGTTAATGTTGTAATACCCAGTCTGCTCAAGCAACATCCACTGCCCTTATTCCTTTTGGCTAAAAAAAACCCATCTCAGTTTATTGCCGAATTGTCTGACAGAATGACATACGGCTCTTCTGATGGTGCAGTACTTACTTAGGAAAAGATCATAGTATAGTCAGAATTAAGTACCTGTTTAAAATGCATGCTTCTTAGAGCCACGCCAGGCTCTTATTAAAGAAATCTGTAAAGGGTCTGCGGCTCCTTTTGGAAATTTGAAAACTTCGAAATCTGTCAGAGCACAGTCCACTTCACCCTGCGACCTGGCTATAAATCATTGGAAAAGCGGGCTTTTTGCCACGAAAGCATGGATTTATTCTTCAAATGGTGACTAAAATCTCATAACTTTTGTTGCAAATGATGTATGAAACATAATCAAAAATATGGTGCCTGATCTATATCAGCAATAAATATTTTGTTACTGGCAATAAGCTTCAAATGATCTTAGAATCTTTAATCATAACAAGTAACCTTAAGCATAAAAGATGAAATGCAGAGCACTTTTACAAGAATCCTTATTGTTTTAATCAAAATGACAAATTACGGTCCTGATTCTGCAAAAACTAATCTTTGTATTTATATTTTTACACTGTGATTAGCTTCAGTTAAATCCTTGGGATTTGCTTTCTGTGCGTGGAGTTTAACACATTGGTAGGCTTCGTGCGGTTGAAGTCCATATCCAAATTTTAGCCTCTCAGATTTTCTGAACTATTCTTTTTCTCTCTCTAGTTTAAGTGGTGTGTAGGTAGGTGCCTGTTCGGCATGAGGGGAGATGGGGTCAGAACGTGTGTTTCAAAAACTAGTGTTTGGCTGTGCAGTCTTTAGCATTGTGTTAGTATTTATGCCTTGGTCATAATAATGAACATATTTTGTGTTACGTGTGTTCCGTATTACATTGATCATAACTCAGGTCTTGATTTAGGCTTTATGTAGGATAAACAAAGACTTGAAGGATAATATTCCTGTTCCCACCCCAAACCCTTTCCCTACCCTAGTATTAATCTTGGAGGAATAATGCTTTTTCAGCTTCTCCTGAAAATTAGAGAGGAAGGTCTTAGAGCTTAAAATATTTTGGTTTGGTTTCATGGCAATTCCTTGTCCTTTTATTTTCTTTTCTTTTTTTCTTTAAATTTTTGCTTTAGAAGTTAATGTCTGTGTGTGGATGGTGAATTGGTCAAAATTATTATTTAAGGACCATTAAATTGTGGTGGTAGACTAAGTGGTGAAATGTTTTAGAGGAAAATAAAAAAAACTGAACTTGATGCTGCTCGACAGTTCTATTAGTGTGTTTTCAGGCTGTGACCCCTTGCTGCCTGACTGTCATCCTGCCACTGCGTCCAACTTTGCCCTTATACATAACTAATTAAAAAAGTGAGTGCTGTAGCTAGATTTTGGCTAAAACCTGTGGTTAAAAAAACAAACAAAAGGCACCAATAAACCAACAAATATTTATTTGCAACCCTTGATTTTCTTGTGTCTTAGTTTTGCTGGTCGAATCTTCACGTTTTAAGGTACTTAGCTGAGGTTGAATGTAAAGTATTAAAACGTTGTTCTTAATATTGTTCAGTATTTTCCTGTGGAGGTTTTAATTTAAACATGGCATATTATAGATATGCTGAAGTCAAGCAAGTTCATACTTTTTTTTTTTTAAAACACCTTATGTATTCTGCCTATTTAATAAAACTTATCTAGATTTAGCCTAATTTGTTTGACAGCAGTGTTTTACAGTTTGTATAATTGATAACTTTCTGTTAAGCATTGGATGCTCTTAGGAGCATTTTTTGCTTAAATGCAAAGTATCAGACTCGTCACTTTCTCTCTCTCTCTCTTGCTTTAAAGGCATCGCTGCTCCAGAGGTTTCAGAGTACATTAGTCATAGCAGAACACAACAATGAGACTCTTACACCCATTACACTGAACACTATCACTGCGGCAAAGCGTCTTGGAGGTGAAGTTTCTTGTTTAGTAGCTGGTACCAGCTGTGACAAGGTAGGAAATGCTGTTTTTGTACGAATGAAATGATGAACGCAGTGAAACACTGCTTGGTAGCGTTTTGCTCAGCCTGAAAAATAATCTGTAGTGAGGAGGAAGTGTGCCCGGAATTGCTAACCTGCCGGAAACATCCTGCACTTGAAGTGCTTCTCTTCTGAAGTGAAAATATGGGTATAGATTTAATTCACAAGAGAGAATATCAATATCAGTTGTTATAAGCTTAAGCAAGCAAGTTTTTATAGGGCTGAAGGGCAGTTAACTTTTAAAACAATATTTCCCTGTAAACGTTGAAAGACATGCATTATAGTGCTAAGAACTTGGAAAGGAACTTGCACTGTTCACATGGAAACGAGCAGGAAT